TAAATAAGCTTTCCATTGATGTATGGTTTGTTAGGATAGGACAATATTTGGCTGAGATACAACTATTTGAAAATCTGGAATCTGAGGGTGCAAAAAAATCTAAATATTGAGAAAATTGCCTTTAAAGTTGTCCAAATGAAGTTCTTAGCAATGCATATTACTAAACAAAAATTAAGTTTTGATATATTTACAGTAGGAAATTGACAAAATATCTTCATGGAGCATGATATTTGCTTAATATCCTAATGATTTTTGGCATAAAAGAAAAATCTATCATTTTGACCCATACAATGTATTTTTGGCTATTGCTACAAATATACCCCAGCGACTTAAGACTGCTTTTGTGGTACAGAGTCACATTGTTTTTGACAATGTAGCTTATTTTTATTACTGTCAAAGTCAGTAGTGAGTTGCATGTCCTGTGCGCTTCATGTGAGGAGTGCAGCTTATGAATATTATTGTTCCAGATCAGTAAAATATGAGGTTACTTTTCAGTTAGTATGCTAGGTTTTGGAACAAAGTCACTGTCATCATGGTGCTGATACTCACCCCAGGGTCCGGCTGCTCTGAAGACAGCCAGCGGGTTGAAGAGCCTGAACACTGACACCAGAGCTTTCACCCAGCGAGGCGGTGAGACCCTTTTAACCTCTGACCCTTGACCTCCTGACCCCTCTAACTGAGGCTGAGGTTGCTCAGGGAAACCCCACGCGTCCACCAGGATGAGGTGACTGACTCTAGTGGACAAAAACACAACTGCTGTCAAGATCGTGTCATTCGTTATATTAACAATTATAACATGGTCCACAAAGTCTGACAACCAAAAAAGACTTTTTGTCTTCATTTTGAACAATATATTTATTGTTTCATATTATCCCTTATATTTATACATTTTCAATTGTGGCTTAAGTGTCCAAATACTTTTCGAAGCAAATATATATATACACATTTTAATTTTTTAGACTATATATTATATTTACACACACACACACACACGCACATACACACACACACACACACACACACACATAAAATAATTTATATATAAATTATATTTTTTGTAGGATGAAGGATTCTAGATGTCTAATTACTGTTTTTTTTTTTAAGTTTACAATGCTTTATGAATAGTTCAGCCCCAACCCATCACTTGAATAAAATAGAAAAAGAACATTAACACCTTAAAACCAGAAAAAGCTAAGTAAAGCTCCTACCAAAAGTATTAGACAAAATGTCCAGCTTATGTAAGTATGTAAATAAAATGGAAAAGCTCACAGAAGAAATGCTCTGCTGAGCAGAACTGTGTGCATGTTCAATAAAAATGTAACAATGCTATAGTTTTTTTTTTTTTCAAAACGCTTACACAGTTTTTGAAACTATGGCTCCATTTCTCAAAACTCTACACACAAAACCACACACACAACATACAAAACAAGCAAACACTTCTTTCAAAACTATTTTAACTCTTCTAAAAATGGTATTTCTGCATAGTAACTCTAAATAAAATAATTAGCCACATACACGCCAAACTACACACAGATGTGAAATATGTAAAACACTGCTTTCATGAGTCTTTTGCTTGTTCAGAGTGCACTCGCACACACTGTACATGCATATGCACATATACACTGAATATATACTATGTACAGCTGATGAATTTGACACAGTTATGCAACTGAACTTGAATCAATCTTGAACTGACTGAAGCTACTGACTTATTAGAATGTGAATTTGATACTATTGTATAAAGCGCTTTAGAAATAAAGTTGACTTTCTGACTTTTGTGTGTGTGTGTGTGTATATACTGTATATATACACACACACACATTTTTTATTTGTATTAGAATACATATTATATTTACACACACACACACGCACATACACACACACACATAAAATAATTTATATATAAATTATATTCATCATAAAAAAGTAAGTGTATATATATATATATATATATATATATATATACACACATATACACACACACACACACACACTTTTTATTGTATTTATATTTTTGTATTTAATTTAATGACATAAAATTAAACAAATATTTTAAAGAAATGTTTAAAAGATAAGTAAACATTCTGCATAATATCATTTGTGTTCCATGAAATGATTTTAAAATAAAGTAAGTGTGAGTAGATTAAACTATTGCTATTATTGCACTATAATTTACTGCATAGGCTTTTTTAGATACCTTTCTGGATATTGGATTGTGTAGGATGTTGCTAGGTAACCACCCAAGCTGTGTCCCAATAGGATCATGCGCTCCAGCCCCAGTGATTGTCTCCACTGCTCTATGGAAGTAACAAACTGCTCCTCAGCCAATGAGGCGTCAGACGGGAACGAGGGGCGAGAGCTGCGACCGAAGCCCAGCAGGTCAACGGCATAGACGGGTCGAGAATGACTCAAAGCGTCCAGGTTACGTATCCAGAGTCCGACACCTCCTCCAAACCCGTGGATCATCACTAGGGGCGTCTGAGCACCTATAGAGAGAGAGGGAGGCATGTTTAAGTGTGCAAAACTCTTACAAATACAACTGTACAAGATTGGAAACTCTACCTTCGTCTTTATGTTTGCGTGCTGATTTATTGGTGACTTTAAGGGTCCATATTCTGTTTTGATTTGGCAAAGTCACAAATCTGGACCAAATGTCATTTTGGATACCTGAACAACAGGGCAGAACGGGCATACTGGGAAAAATGAAGATAAAATACAATAAAATAAAATATTATTATAAGATAAAATATAATAATAGGATAAAAAATATATATTTTAATAAAATATAATCTCAGTTATATTCTGAATAAAATATTATAATAGGATAAAATTTATAAATATTAAAAGGGGACAGTGAGGATCTTACAGGCAAGAATTTTAGCTTCGGCACTTTTCAATAATGACATGGATGTTGGTCTCCAAGAGGGCCACCAAGACCAGTTTCCAGCGGTCTGCCTGAAGAAAGAGATCATTATGAAGTCAGTGAATGGATGAGAGCGGCACTATGAGACTGTCCATGTCATCCGTCTGTGAACATACAGAGCTACTTCATCTGCCTTTATACACAGAACAAGCCTGTCACCTGCTGCCAATGAAACCAGTATTAATAATGCTTTGAGGGCATAATTCATACACAAGCACACAAAAGAAAAAATGTTTTAAATAAAGATTTAAGTAATGTTAGGAGCATCACTTTATTATAAAAAAATATATAATAATAATAATAATAAAATACAATTTTCATGTCTGAATCAATGTTGACATTAGCACTAAAATTAAAATTTCAGTCTTAAAATTAAAAACGAATACTCCAGTAATCAATAATAAGACAGAAATGTTACATTTGGAGAATCACTTTATTATAAAATATTTTTTTTATTTATGCTCTGTACTGTACATCATATACAGTGGGTACGGAAAGTATTCAGACCCCCTTAAATTTTTCACTCTTTGTTATATTGCAGCCATTTCTTAAACCCAATTGAGCATCTCTGGAGAGACCTAAAAATGGCTGTCCACCAACGTTTACCATCCAACCTGACAGAACTGGAGAGGATCTGCAAGGAGGAATGGCAGAGGATCCCCAAATCCAGGTGTGAAAAACTTGTTGCATCTTTCCCAAAAAGACTCATGGCTGTATTAGATCAAAAGGGTGCTTCTACTAAATACTGAGCAAAGGGTCTGAATACTTAGGACCATGTGATATTTCAGTTTTTCTTTTTTAATAAATCTGCAAAAATGTCAACGATTCTGTGTTTTTCTGTCAATATGGGGTGCTGTGTGTACATTAATGAGGAAAAAAAATTAACTTAAATGATTTTAGCAAATGGCTGCAATATAACAAAGAGTGAAAAATTTAAGGGGGTCTGAATACTTTCCGTACCCACTGTAAATGCCATTGACATTTAAATTAAAACTTTAATCTATATTGGTTATATTCCTATAACCAATAATTAGACAGAAAGGTTAAGATGTAAATTATGTTAGGAGCATCACTTTATTATAATTTTCTATTTATGGACTGTACTGTATACCATATGAAAGGAAGTTGCCATTAGCATTTAAATTTAGTCTTAAATTTAAAATTATCACTCCTATAAGGAATAATAACACATAAAGGTTAATCTGTAAATGATTGTTATTTAGTTCAAAAAACGAGCCATAACTATAGTGATGTAAACAGCTCAGCATGACTTTGCATAACGTTATGTCATAACAGAGCATGTATGAATTATTCTATTACTTCATATCAATCATTCACTACAGGGATTTTGAAATATTCGCATGTTAAACACACAGTGTGTTTCATAATAAAAGGAAACCTAATGTTACATGAGCGACTCACATCTCATGTCTGTAACGTTATTATCATTCAGATTCGGTACTCACTCTGTGTCAGTCTCGTCTTGCATTGCAGGAGACATTAGTATGAAACATAATACAATAAAAATCCCCAACGACAGACTGGCATACTTTAGATTGGTGTATTCGCTACCGGATCTGACACACAGACGGTCACTTTAAAGGCCTGTGTTTGTGTTTTGTAACACTGACGTCAGCGTCTTTAAAGGAGCCGCGCCACAAAAATACAAGAAATGCGTGAAATGTCATGAAACAACTCTTATCTTAATTTGTGAGCATATTTATATTGAAATGTTGATGTTTCAAACAGTCAGTATACTAATAAGGTGATAATCTTGAATAATCTTTGCTCTGATTTTATTGGATAATTATGTTGTTGTGGTTTTTACAATACTTCTTTTGTTTCACAATTGTCTCCGGTTGTTTTTAGTGGATTTTACACTGGGAGAAAATTGGGATGTGTGGTTAGGATTGGAGTATTTCATTTCTTTGCATTAAACCAGTGGTTCCCAATCCTGGTCCTGGAGCACCCCCAACACTGCACATTTTAGATGTCTCCCTATTCAAACACACCTGATTCAACTCATCAGTGAAGACTCCAAAACCTCAAATGTGAGTGTCAGATAAGAGAGACACCAAAAACGTGCAGTGTTGGGGGTGCTCCAGGACCAGGATTGGGAACCGAACGCTGCACGAGCACCGGAACTAAAATTCACCTGCAGTTCCAGTGGGGAACATTTAGAGGACGCACATCTGTCTCTCTCTTACACGTCATTCATTTCCTCGCTGCTTGATTTCCAGGGTTTCTGTGCACAATTCCTGCAGAAATCATGTCTAATTCGGTGTTTTCAGTTATATCGCGTTTTGTGGAGGAGTACAGGAGCAGCACACCGAATAAGCTGAAGATGATCGACGCGTATCTGCTGTATATTTTGCTGACCGGAGTGTTCCAGTTCCTGTACTGTGTGCTGGTGGGAACGTTTCCCTTCAACAGCTTCTTATCTGGATTCATTTCCTGTGTGGGATCCTTCATTCTGGCTGGTATTTACACTTACTTAATCATATATAACAAGAATCAAAACATTTATGTATGTATTTTATGTTATGTATGCATTGCATGTTTGTTTGGAATGTTGGCATGTTGTGTGTCTATAACATCATATTTAAATATGTTTTTCAGAACATAATATCACTGTATCTTTAATATTTGTGTGTGTGTGTGTGTGTGTGTGTGTGTGTGTGTGTGTGTGTGTGTGTGTGTGTGTGTGTGTGTGTTTACACAGTACACACACAATTGTGTTTTATACTTTTATTATATTACAATTATAAATAATTATTTATTTAAACATGCATTGTTTTATTATTTTATACTATATAATATATTTGCAATCTAGTTCGTTGTTTATTTATTTGAGTGTTATGTCAAAAGCAGACATAAAACCATTAAAAACAGCAAAGCTAAATAATAATTGGTATGGGTCAAACATAATAACATCCATTGTTCTCTAAACTTTAACTGCTTTCACCAACTTCACCAAACAATGTTCATATTTCCAGGTCTTGTTTGTTGATAATTTGTGTCTTTATGTTCTTCTATCTTCAGTCTGTCTTCGCATCCAGATCAACCCTCAGAATAAAAGAGATTTCCTGACCGTCTCTCCTGAGAGAGCCTTCGCTGATTTCCTCTTCGCTCACACCGTTCTGCATCTAGTGGTCGTCAATTTTGTTGGCTGAAGGAGAGCATCTGCTCTGTGCCTCTTACAGCAGGTGGATGTGTGTCAGTAACACCTAATCAATGATTTAACTTCACTTTCATGTGTCTGATGTTCATGTTCACACATAGCATGATACATACCGATTATGTTACAACTTCTCACACTTGACAATCGCCAGAATGGCTTCTGGTATTTTTTGAAAAAGTCCTGTTCACACATGATCTTTTAACTGTAATTTGCTGGTGATTTACCAGTAAAGACTGTATGTGTCAAAGGGGCAACAATATATGAACTCATAGTTCAGGCAACAAAAAAAGAAAAGGAAGCCCCAAAATAGCAGATATGAATCATGCCCGGATCCTTAAAAAAAAAAATCAACTCTAAACTGCTTGCTCAGTATAAACTAATTTCTTGAGAAGCTCTCTAACTGACCGATAATAAACCCTCGGCTGCCTAATATAGAAAAGTGAATAGATAGAGCAGTACATACTTCCTCCTTTGTGTCATGTATTAATTTTTGTACAATGAAATACGCAGCTGCACAGAATTGCCTGAGGTTAACATTCATTGCTTTATATTTTGTGTTTCGTGTTCCTTCAAGATAAGCTTTCAGTTGCCATTCATTTAGAGATATGTACATCTGATGTAAAGTCATTATCATCATCAAATTGCCAATAAACTTTTTAAATCTCTGCAAAAGACACATGTTTGCATAATTAGAGCTGGACTTATGCATATCGCCAATGCCGATATATCAGCCATCATTTGGCATTTTTAAATTATCAGCATTGGCCAGTTCGTTTAGCCGATAAGTGTTGGAGACGCTTTATTTTGATAGCGATTGGACTTTTATTTTGGCAGCAAAATTAGTTTGCAACCAGCTGGAGAGGCTGCTCACTGCAGAGCCATTGTGAGGAGCTTGACATCCAGCTTCCCATCTCTGGACGTAATGGGTGCAGATAGACACTCCAAACACACCTAACCCTACCCATACCCTATCGCTAAACATAACTCCACCCATTACATCCACAGAGGTGGAGCTGGATGTCATTTGGCTCTGCAGTGAGCACTACTTGTGACCAGCTCTGATGAATCCTGTTTGTTTTTCACAGATATGAAGACCAAACGCTGCAGCTCAACTACAGAACAGCTACAAACAAACAACTGTCTGTAGATCTCTCAATGTTAATATATGTTTTGACAGAATTGTCATTTATGATAAGTTCTTGTCTTGTTCCTTCATTTTTCTACTTTTGTAAAATTCTCTGGAAGATGTTGAAACAAATTAAATGCCTTTAAAAAATTCAGTGATCCTGTAGTGTTTTATTCTATGTAACAAATCTAGGTAATCACATCTGAAGTAAATCTTTGTGTTTGAGATATATTTTAAAAATATAATTTGTAATAAAAGTAACATTGAAAAATAATAACCATTTTATTTTATGAGTGTAAATGAAACCAGAAACAGAGTTGTGTATAACTATAGGCCACAGTCTCTTTATATTAATTTAGCACTGAACACAATTGCAGTATGGTGCTGCACAAATGGTTAAAAAAAACAAACTCTCTTATCCCACATCTCCCACATCTGGACATAGTTTAGGCAGACGGGAGTGGGAGTGAATACAGAAATATTCCTTCTCAAAACAGCTGTCTTTAGGAAAGAGGGCCTTATCACACTCAACCTCAGCGATGACTCTTCTGCTTCTTCTAATCATTCTTGTTCTTGGTGATCTACCAGGTAAGCTTTACTCATTCCTTTTGCAAAAACTGATGCTGAAAAACAACTTGAAGACATTTTCCAAAGCTGTGTTTATGGGAGTTTCATTCTGCAGCTAAAATTGGTCATGCGTTAAAACTTACTCTGTTCTGACCATTTCATTTGAACAGTTTGCAGTTTTAAAGCCAGAATGAAAGTGTTTCTAAGCGCAGCTAGATGAGTTTTCATATTAAGGAAAACATCGTGACCCAAACTCAAAGTATTTTAGAGTGCTGTCTATTAACTCAAGTTTTTCCAAACGTATAATGTTTTTAATCAAGTTTTTCATTTTCAAGAGAATTTTTATTTTTGTTATTTGCCTTTTTCTGCTTGACTGTTGTTTATATGGAAGATTGATGGACAACTGATGTATTCCATTAGATAAATGAAAAACTGAACGCAAATGAACTTTTGCATGATCTTATGTGCTTATGGAACATTATATAGTGCATGTGTTTTCTTAGAACTGCTGTGTAGTCAAAGTGAGAGATGGGTTTGGGGCCTAAGTATAAGATGTATGGGTGACAAGAAATCCACAGGGCCATATTGGGTTGAGAGGGGGACAACTGGGAGACCCATAGGCGTCTGTCCATGACCTAGGGGGTCACCTAGGCCCTAAATATAGGGGGAACCAAACTTTAGAAGTATGATATAGTAGTGTGTTTTTGACTTTCTTGCCATGTGTGGAAAAGTACAGCTGTTAAGAGTTTGTAACCTTGACTTGGAAAAGAGATATAAGTGGAGGAGCGCCCTCCCTTCCTTGTCACACTCTGCAGCGACTTGTATCCTGTACGATGTTTGACCTTCTTTGCAAAGAATAAAACCTTTTAAAGACAATTGAGAGTGAGTTTGTCTCTTATGCTGATGAGAGTCAATTCGATTTTGCCCCAACAGTGACGATACAGCAGCTGGAGATGAGAGATTCAGGCTAGTACTGGTGTGGAGCTGGTCAACAGAAGGTGGCTGTTCGTGTGTCAGTCACACCACAAACCACAACACATACGTCACACACATTACAGCTGACATCCATACTACAAAAACTTTTATGTAGGAAATTGTATTTTCTGTATTGTTTGCTTCACTGTACTAAAGAGTGTTCTTTAGACTGTCTCAGTTTGCTTCAGTATGCTTGAGTTTTCGATGAGCTGAGAGATAACAGGAAATCTATTTGTTTATGTGTGCAAGACAAGTGTATTAACAGAAATATTATTTTAGTTTCTTAGACGTCCTGGCTACTTAGAAAATGATTTGCATTAAATTCTTAAAAACTCATCTGGAGGACATAGTTGGACACCTTATATGGACATATATGTTAAATGCATTATGATTGGATGAGATCAAGCATCTGCATTTGATGAAGGTATAAATGTTGAGTTGGGGTGTTGCCTCTTTGTCTCACTCTGCAGTTAACTTAGATGACTGGATGACTGTCACCTTTTCTTGCAGGAAAATAAATATTCAAAAGACTTTTGTCTCATACCTTTACTGAAATAGAAAATTGCCACGACACGTACTTACTCTGTAGAAACGCGAGTGCTGTTTACTGATGCCAAAAAAGAGAAACCTACTGAAACAGGCACATTGCTATGTAGTTTCTGCCACGCTGCATCACTGATCTTTTGCATAAAAACATTTCTGCTCAACGCTGTTGCATTTGATTTCTGTCCTTATGCCAGAGAGCACAGCGTCTCCTCTCCAGAATCTGAAAACAACAGTCAGGAATCAATCTGTAATGAGCTCAAATGACCCCCACAGGTGACCTCCTACACACTTTTCTGTGTAATTCCTCATGGTTGAGTTCTCATACATGGATAAAACAATTTTAGCAATCAGCTGTGTCATATATATTGGTGAATTGGTATTTGACTAACACATCAATATGCAGTCAATATGGGACTGCACTTCATCCTGCAACATCTTCTTTCTGATTCTGATTCTGATCATGTCTGTTCAGGCGTCCTGTTTGGGAGTCTCCTCTTGTGGTGTGTGGGGTCGTATTGCTGGTGATGACTGCATTTTTGGCACTTTGGAAGTTATGGCAACTATGTAGTAAGTTTCCAAGGTTATTTGTCATTTTTGTGTTTTTTCCCCCTGTATTATAAATTAATTTAATTAATAAGATTCTGTATTCCTTAATTTAACCTCATTTAGCTTTAGAATAAAAAGGATGCACTCTTATGTTTCTGAGCATTTTTTTTTTCTTTGTTTCATTTTGCAAAGAAAAAGCAGAAACATCGAGGGACAAATGAAATGAATGATAATCTCACAGTAAGTGCAGTTTGTTCTCTTACCATCAACATTAAATAAAAAAAGACCCTATTTACATTCTTAATGTACGCTCATCTTCTTTTGTGGAAGTATTAGCTGTGTACATTATTCCAAAAAAAAAAAAAAACGGTTAACCGGTTCATTGAAAGATGATCATTCTTCACTTGGAAATAACGAGAAACGTTATGCTATCTATGCAATGTAGTGGAATAAAAAGTGAGAAATTATGCTTTTGAATATAGTGAAGTAAAAGTTTACTTTTCCCAGAATGAAAATACAAAGTACAGATGCATTTTTCCTGACTAAATGTTGTAAAACTAATGCTTCAAGGAAAAAAAACGTACATACAGTTGCTTTAATAAGAAATTACATGGAGTGCAGCAATGTAGATCTTTACCGCAGAGCCACAACTCATGATGATGTTGTGTCTGGTGTCCAATTGTGATGAAATGTTTTCTGCTGTATTTGATATTGTTTCACTCAGATGTGTCCACGGAGAGAAGGAGACTATAAGAACGCCTCGGTGATTTTCCTGAACGCTCCAGCTCAGGCCCAGATGCTCTAACAGAGGAGCCTCATGGATATTCATGATGATGAAGAAGATCATAAAGTGAACTGATTGACACTTTGACTCTTTAAGTCTCTTTATGAAGTCTAGAGAGTCCTGCAGACTGGAGAAACTGAAGACTGGTGTAATATTTGACATTCCTTCACATTTAACAGGAAGATCATCTTTCATTATAATGCATTTTTCATGTTGTGTATTTCACGTTTATCTGTCTGTAAGTAAGCACAAGCCTTATGAGTGAATTGTGCGGTGTGAAGATGTTTTTACCATGAGCAATTATTCTCAACTAACAGTGCAGAAAATGTGTGAAAGAAGTGTGAATGTTTACAGAAGCACTGAGAATGTACCCATATCTCACTGTTTACCATAATAGAGAATATTTTATCTCTTATGTGTTTTATCAGCATGTAAATGGTGAAAAGCTTTTGTCCACTATTAATCTCTGTACAGAAACAGTGCTTCATTCACATCCTGTTTCAAGTCCTATTAAAATCTTTATTTGAAGTTGTTTGTCACGTACTGCATATAAATAAATGTAAGAAGCTCACTTCAGCAGTGACCTATTCCAGTAGTTCTACAATTGTAAAATTAGAACTAGAGAACGAAATAGCGTTAATACCCAGAAACCTCAGAGGAAGACACTTTGATGTCGACTGCATTGCACGTAAAATAAATCTTTTTTATCATAATAATCTTAAATGTCTCGTCCAAGTGATGCATTTGTAACTTGTGATTTTTGCAGCATTTGCACTCGAGCATTATGACATATTATTGTAAATTAAGTTTTTGTGACATAAGCAACTGAAGAGCATGGATGCAGGAAGTGAGAGTCTGAGACCATGAGGACTTAAGATCATATACTTCTCCTTGAGTGATAAGCTGTTTCTGTGGCATTATCACAAAGAAAATGTACATGATGAAGATGCAGGGAGAAGAAACATTGCAACGTTTTAACAAAAGGACTGTCAGTTTGAAGATCATGGTGTTTTTCCTTTGGCTCATAACAGGCAAGTGTTCTGTATTTGTAATGTAGTTTATTCATACAATTAGTTGACATGTTCTCGGTCTAAAACTAAACAGTGTTTTGATCATTCTTTTATAATTACAGACTTTTATTAATAGAGAAATTAATTTCTCATGCCATGGATTATTTCATGTTATTATTTAGTGTTGTCATAATTTTGACTTGGAGAGGATTTATTTTTCTTGAAAGTGCTAGTTAATGTTATTGCATTGGAACAAAATTAATTAGACTAAAATGCCTAAAATTATCTACAAATAAAAATGTTTCCACTCAAAAACTGGGGTGGATAAGCTCAGATCAATAAGTTAATTCCAAAAACAAAACCTGTGCTAACTGAAAGAAAACAAGTTGATAAAACTGACTGAATTTAAGATTTGATGTAGCTTATTGAAATATTTCATCAGTATTTAAAAGGCTGGTAATTTTTTTTTTTTTTTTTACCTCAAATTAGTTCAAGGTTTTTCAGCACAGTACAAGGGTTAAGATGAAGGTAGAAAAAAGTGGTTAAAAAGGCAACAAAAAAAACAAACTTGAAATAGTGATCAGTCACAGTACATAAAAAATGCATGTTATATTCATATTAATTTTAATCTAAAATCTTGATTTAAAAAAAGTCAAAGTACATGATTTGCATCAACTATCTGTAAGTTATAAACGTAAATACTAAAAGAAAACTTAAAATAATTGTGCTAAAAAGTGTAGCATGTATACATGCATCTAAATAAGATTGTTATTATCATTAACACTGACAAAAAACTCAAACTCAAAAGTTGATCTTTTTTTTTTTTATCCAGGTCCTGAATGCAAAACAGGTTCAGCAAGCAGACTGTTAACGGTTCAGACTGGAGGATCGCTCATTATTCCATGTTATTATAACAGGAAATACACTGATCACAAAAAATACTGTTGCTTTGATGCCAGGTCAGCATACAATTACTGCAGTATTCTGGCATATGCTAATGAAACCAAAGGAAAAGTGTCAGTAATTGACCATCCAGATCAGAGTTTCTTTACTGTGACTATGAGAAACCTGCAGTATGAAGACACTGGAGCTTATTGGTGTGTTGTGGAGATTGGAGGAATATTTCAACCAGATGAGAATGAGCAGCTTCATCTGA